CCCCAAAACCCCAAAACCCCAAAACCCCTCTTCGCATAGCCTAATCTATTATGATCAAATGTGGCTGTTTGTTGTCTTGTTTCTTCATAAAATGATACACCATCTTGAGGTATACCTTTCTCTCAATATATTTGTCAGATTTTTTAGGTGTAAGCATTTCTCCTCTTCTCCATTCACCATCCCATACTTGTAAATCATTGGTGATTAGCCTGCCATTACCTTCCCTCATGCCAGATTCATATTCACCTTGGTAATATTCATTTGTAATAGGGTTATATTCTTTCCCATATCCTGATTTATTTGTCATCATCCCATCTTCCTACATATTTGGCTCCATTTTTGGAAAGAAGGATGCCAAAGCCTTGCCGAGAGCCTTCTTCAAAGTAGCCTTCATAAATATCACCATTTTTGTATTTCATGATTCCTTTGGAACCGATTTCATAATCCACAACTTCCCCTTCATAGACATCGCCATTTGGAAATTTAAGTCAAGCGAATTTGTCTAATTCACCATCAGTAAAATTCCCTCAAATTTTGATTCCATCATGAAGATGGATAGTACCCTCCCCTCCACGTTTTCCTTCATGAAAATGGCCGATGTAATAGGTCTGGTCGAGGTAGTTATACCTCCCAAAGTGCATCATATCTATACAATTTTGTACCTAAAACCTACCATTTTTCCATTGCCCATTAAATTCTTCTCCACTTTGGAACCTCATCTCTCCTTGGCCTGATCTTTGATCTCTGACCCAGTTACCGTCATAAGTGCCGATGTCCTCTGGAATGCCAGTTTCAGAAACAATGTAGACCATTTTGCCTGTTCCATCTCTCTTAGAGCCTTTTAAATTTCCATTGTAAACATTCTCATTTTTGAAGAGAATCTCTCCAAGCCCATATAGCTTTCCCTTAACGAAGGAGCCTCCTTCCTTATTATAAACTCTTTTGGTCCTGTGGCTATCATCCTTTGAGAATGTTTTGTATTTATTGCCATCAGAATCTGTGAAAATTCCGTTCCCTTCTATCTCGTTGTTCATGAACTGCCCGATGTATTCACTTCCATCGTGGAACTGTACAAAAGCTTTTCCTATCTTCTTATCCTCTGTGGTATGAAGCAAAGAAATACCGATGAAATCACCGTTGTAACTATCGTACTCAAACTTCATTGTCCATGTATCCTTTAAGAGGTTTATGTGCTTTGGTAAGTAATGAAGCACTCCTTTTCCAGTTTTCATATAGTCTATAATGTTCAAAGGTAGTTACTTTTGTAATCTCCTTCGTAGTAATCCCCGTTTAGGAAGAGGGCTCAGACTTTACCTTCCTGGAGTATATCAAATTCAAACTTTCCCTCTATAATGGTGTCCCTCTCTGTCATAATTACGATGTTGTCTATGCCAAAATTACTTAACATTTACCATGGGTTTCAAAGTCTTTAGTTTTAACAGCAAGTTTCATGTCTTCTAAGAGAGTTCCTTGCTCGGTGATCTCTACCTTAGGATTATTCATGATGCATCCGGATGGAGTGACCATGAAATCATACCCTCTTGGTTGTTCATTTCTGAACCATTTGATTAAATTATAGATGAATTCTTGAATATTCTCGCTCACTTCAACATAATTGAACAAATACTGATATCTCTTAAGCAGTTTCAACTTATTCTTAGCCTTCACTTTCCTTGTAAATGGGTCTTCTTCTAGAAATCCAGCGAAATCAGTGTTGTTTTTAACCCCAATTTTCTTCTTCGGCTTCAAATCTCTAGAGATGATCTAATCTATCTTACAAAAAGTTGTCTTCATATTTCTGATCTGTCATATTTTTTATGGCATGCTCCAGGTCCTTTTCATATTGATCCTCAGAAATTAATGATGTTTGAGAATCTAATATTTTTAAGAAGGAATTACTCTCATCCTTTAGAGGTTTGTTCAGGAAATTCTTAGTTATGGTCTTATTGAAAATACGAATGGAACTGTTTCTGCTATTAATCATTCTAAACTCGTGAGATATGTCTTTATACCTCTTGCTGAAGCAGCTATCTTTTGACTTGTTATATACAGTGCTAGTTTTATCAAGGAAAGAATTCCTTCCATAACAAGTATTGTTATATGCGTACTGAGATGAACCATTTTTCAACTGAGTCGTCCTTGGCACACTCTTTTCAGGGGAATAATTAAAAACCTTTTGCTGCGTCAAATTAAGATTCGGGATTTTATTTCTACGATATATAGTTTTATTCATTCCAGATCTCCGTGATAATAAGCATTGCGACTTTTCATGCTGCTATAAAGATGAATCAGACTCTTACGCTGTAAGCTCCACTTTTTAGCTGGGACATAGACTTGCCTGAAGATGAGGAAGAGGAGTCATACCGTATATAGACTCGTTAAAGCCTTCGTTATACATTCTAATCCCTGGACTTGTTGAATTAATCTTTCTTGCTTTCAAGTAACTATTAAAATGAGCACTCAGAATACCTCAGAAGATTATAAAAACTCTCTTTCTTTGATAGATCTTCGTGCTTTATCTCCTGCTCTCTGAGTTGTTTAGGCTTTGGAAGAGTATACTGGGTCGGATTCTTAATTTAAATTAGTAAAAAGTGATGTAAACCCTCCTTTGAAAATCAGGTTATCAAGAATGTTGAAATATTCTCCTTACCAAAGCAATCTTGCTCTTTTGCACTTTCTTTATTCCTAAAGTTTATCAAGGGTTCCTACTAAACTGTCTTGAGCTTTTGTAAATCCCTTCATTCTTCCGATCTAGAACGGGAGTTGTTGCATTCCTATTCATAAAATTTAAACCAGAAATTAACTTGAGCACAAGAATTTAGGGCAATTTTATGCTTCAGGTGCGAAGCAGCATGGATTACCTTATCTTCAGGCTAGACTTTTTATTTGTAGTTCGACTTCTACTCTTCATTTTCAATGAAGTTTTATTATTTCGGGGTTTTGGGGTTTTGGGGTTTTGGGGTTTTGGGG